CAGAAAAGTGCAGTCTCTCCCAAAGTATTACCCCCTCCCCCACCTAGGGTCCATTTCTGAAGAAGGGTCTAGGCCCGAAACATCAGCCTTCCTGCTCCTCTGATGCTGCTTGGCCTGCAGTGTTCATCTAGCTCTACAACTTGTTATCTGTGATTCATAATTAACCTTAGCACCAGTATTAAAGCCTTGAAGAATGTAATAATTTGTCTCTACCTTTTCTGACAATTGTTTTTCACAAGAAGACAATTGTTTGATGTGGTGGCATTGTGTTGGATGTCAAGTGTTAATCTAAAGTGCATTATAAGTAAACATAGTAAATTACCTCTCCTTTAGCTGTAATTGTCTTTTCATCCAACTGAAAGGCTGCTCCTATACGGCGCCGGACTGCGGGTGGCTTTTCCCCTTCTGCTAATGGATACTCTTTTGGCAAATACCCTGTCAACTCCTAAACAGGAAACACATTGAAATAAATATAGTTGAATTTGCAAAGTTAATAAAGATCTCTGAGCTAGCTAATTAAGTAATAAATATAAAATTTTAAAATTCTTCAATCAAATCATTTAAGGAAATATGTTTCTGACATGAGATAGTAACACAATGTAATTGATTATTACAAATTGTTGCTAATGAAAAGTAACATTCATGCCACATTAAATGCCAGGCCATGGCCATCTCCAATCAGAGAAAATCTAACCACCTCGCTTTGACATTTGGCATTCAATGATGTCACCATTGCCGAACCGTCTTCCATCAATATCCCAGAGATCACCACTGGCCAGAAACCCAAAAGGCCAGCCTCATAAATATAATGGCTGCAATAGTAGCTCAGAAGCTGGGAATCCTGCTGCAAGCAACTCATCTCCTGACTCCCCAATGCCCATTCACTATTTACAAGGCAAAGGCAGGAGTTTTTTTGGAATATTCCTCAAATTTCCAGACTGTGTGCAACTCTACAAAAACTCAACTATAATTAGAAAACATTGAAATCGTAAACCCAAAAATTTTCAGATGCTAGTACTCACAGATTCACGTAAACACAGTTTTTTCAGTTCATCCAAATAAAGTTCAAGAGTTTCTTCCAGCATTTGCTTACGTGAAATGACAGACCGATACTTATCTTTCGTTGGTGATTGAGGGCTGTCAGATCCTGTGAATAGAACACCAGTTATGAACTAAGGATACTATTGCATAAGTAAGCTTGGTAGCTTCTTAATGCAGCAAGTTATTTTTGTCAATTCTGGAACACCAGGCATTATTTTTCTCATCAACCCTTTTCTCCTCCATCCTTGCCATAAGTTTAGTTGTCCTTTCCCATCTTGAGCTCTTGATCCTCTCAATCCCATCCTCAGCCAATCAACACCTCTCTGCACATGTACTATCCTGCCATTGAACCTCCCTTGAATAAGTCCACATCTTCCTTCTGATCACTTTCAACAAATTCAGAAGGGCACGTTGATGTCTTCATCTCCGCTGCCCAATTCTCTCTCTCAATGGCATTCCCATTTAACATTGCCAGTGAGGCTAAACTCAGCAAAAACATTTCTGCTTCTCTCATTCCATCAGCCACTACCCCTAGGACCAATGTACCTACAATCAATTTCCTCTAGAATGTTAATGCACTAGGTGCTTACCATCCATTATCTTGTCCTGGATGATTTTAAATGATTGTTTAAACATTTGGTGAAACCTTGCCTCTTGCTGAAGGTTTAGCACTTATCAGTATTTTCTCACAATTACCTTGCATAAAGATACTGCATGCTGGTATGAGTTTCATCAACAATGCTTAATTTTCTGTCTTCATCTGCTTCTTTAGTGTTTCTTTCTCTTTCAAAAAACCCACATATTTCCACTTCTCTTATTTCCTGTTTAAAATCCACATTCCTTTGACCCCCAAATCCAATGAGTTTCTGTCCATGCTTTCAGTTGCTCCTTCTAATGTTGCCATCTTTTGTTGGACATTTATCCATTTTGATAACACATCTATGAAGAAGACAGGGATGTTTTTAAATATTAAAGGTGACAGTGTTGTTGAACGTGAATTGTTGAAAGAATTAGCCATCTGTCCTTTTTTAAACAAGAGCATCTGCCATTGAAATAGACACTAAATAGTCCATCTTAACTGACAAATCTAACATTTCAAAACTATTTGTAAAATATCTGAATATTTCCTTAAATATTGCACTTCTAATGAAATGTGAGTATATTTTTGAAGTTTCAAACAAATTTCCTAATGTCTCCCCAGTTATTGAAGAGTTAGATTCATGTTAATTTCCATCTTGGATCCATGAACCCAGCCAAGTAAATAATGGTGGGTAAATTAATTTGCTTTGGTGCCCATAGGTTAGGGAGTTGCTCAGTTAGTCAGGAAAAATTATTGCTGTTCTATGGCTTTTTAAGGAAAATGCCTGTTGAATGAAGGCAAGATCCAGCTTGTTTATGATACTTTCTGTCTAATGCCCACTTAATTTCAAAGTTCTTAGCCTCAATTTAATCTTTCACCTAATTTCTGCAACGTTTTCCAATATGTCTCAGCTCAAACCTAGGTGTAAATGATATGGGCTTCATTCCTTCAACCTAACTTTCAGAGATCACTAACCTGTAATTTGGAATTTGCCTCTCAAAATGTTGACATGCTATGTTTTTCCCAGCTTCAGAAGCATGCTTGAAGTCTATTTCTCCAAAGACTTCCCTCAAAGCCTCCTCATTCCTACATTGTGACTAATGTTATTCCATTGTGAACAACAAATGCTGCAGTAATTTGTTCTTACATTTTGTTCATTCCATTGTAAAGTGCCTTGTGAAGGCACTCTCATGCTTATATTTGACACATAGCAACGCAGTCAGTTAGCTGTGTTGGTTAGATAGTTGGTTTGTGACGCAGAGTGATGCCAATAGTGTGGGTTCAATTCCATGCGGTTACCATGAAAGTCCTGTCTTCTCAACCTTAGCCCTTGCCTGAGGCATGGAGACACTCACATTAAACCATCACTGGCTGTCTTTGTCTTTTGAGAAAGTAGGACTATGGACACTTTATCTTTACATTACAAGCAAGATATTCAAAGGTGCATTGAACTATTGCACAAGTGTCCATTGAACCATATCACAGCAATACAAACTTTGTTCAGGAAAGAGAAAATGCAAAAATAAAATAATTTAAGGCAATGTTCAGCCAGCTTACTGACAAAAGCAGTAGTAACATCCGGTGAGTGTTGCAATGAGTTCTGTTGTGACTCATAGTCATGTTGCCTATCCCATACGTCTGTACATTTCTTGATATCATGTCTGAGCAACACTTTGACACCTCCCTTTTGTTGTCTATGGTTAATAATTAACACTGCAGCTGGAAAACTGAACCCTTTTAATGACATCATAGCCACCACAATATTTATCTGTTTGTTCATAGCTGCTACAAAGTGACTCAAGAGCAGACTTAAGGTCCAAAAGCTGGGTTGGGCTCAGTGGTCAGGAATTACCCCTCTCTTTTGAGACTGATGCCAGTTTATTATCTACAACCATTTCCATAATCAAATGAATTCAAAATCTGCAAAATTAAAATTTCTATAACTTGTTACATGAAATTCACTTACATTTAGTAAATCATTAAGGTGCAGTAGAATTTTAGAACAAGTCAATTCATTACTAAAAGATTTCTTTGGACTTATTAAATGAATCATAGCAAAGATGAAATTACTTTTAAGCATTTGTTCCTAACAGAACATAATAGAGGACTGTGAAGATTTAATAACTCTCTATGGAAAATAACCAGCTAAATTGTAAAGTGGGACAAGCTGGTAAAAGTCATAGTTGTGATCACTCTGCAAAGGTTACCATCAGCACAGGAAAATTCTTTCAATTGCACTTAATGTAGGTGATATTACCACTGATGCAATGGCATCAGTCACCAAATACGTCCCTGATTTTTTTTTAAAAACTGTTTGAATGTAACAGGTATTGTCACTGCTCAGTAAGAATTGCTTTTGGTGGCCATTATGAAAGGGTACATTTATTAATCATTCTTACAGGTTTCCCCTTTGTTTGGATTATTCTGATTCATTGACAGCCAATTGACATACTCCATTCATCAATGGCTACCATTTACTACTGATAATTAACATTATCCATTCATGGTAATAGGTATGAATTGGCAACAAACCTTTGGTTTTGTGAAGTCAGAAACAATAAAGTTAAATGTAAAAGACCCAAAAGTCTGTATTTGAATCTGGTACATGCAATAAAGCAGCCAATTCCTAATAATGTGTATAGTTTGCCAAAGTAAATTTCTTTCTAGAAAAGCTTTCACTCATAAAGTCAAAAGAAACCGTTTCTTTCCAACTAATTTTAATTTTGCTCCTTAGTGCTCATACCCTGTCACCACAACCTTCCAAAAAATACATTCCTTTACAGTGACAACAGGGTCATGTCTTACACCCTCAGCTCATTGGGATCATGGTACTGGCAGACAGAAAATGGCACCATTCCCATTCCCGGTATGACTGCTGTCATCTTCACTTGGGACCTTCCACGGACTAAGTCAGGATCCTATTTTTAACAGGTTCAACAGATGGATACCACACCACTCCTGCACTGCCATTGACACAGACATGGGGTGACCTAACCAGAGCTCTTTAAAGGGATATTTGTACACTTCACAATATCTGTTCAGAAGAAAGTAAAGACAAGTTCCTTTTTGAAACAGATTTTTAGAGCATGTGAATGTTCCTCATAGAATCACAGAAGTGCTTTGGTGCAGAAAGAGGCCATTTGGCCCATCATGTCTGCATTGGGTTTTTTAAATGAGCATCATTGGCAACTGCCAATTTCTTGTTTATTTTTTTAATTTGAATACTATTGCTATATTGGGGTTTGTTTAGCTTGGATGGCTGGTTTGCAATGCAGTGTGATGCCAACAGTGTGGGTTCAATTCCTGCACCAGCTAAAGTTACTATGAATGACTCTCCTTCTCAACTTCTCCCCTTGCTTGAGGTGTGGTGACCTCAGGTTAAACCACCAACAGTCATCTCTCTCTAATGACAGAGCTATCCTCTGGTACAGTAGGACTATGGTGACTCGACCTTTACCTATATTTCTCATTACCCGTTAAAGCTCTGTTAGTTTGACTGCTTCCATTCCTCTGGAATTTAGAAGGATGAGAGAAGATCTCATTGAAACCTACAAGATTCTGAAAGATGGTGGAGACTGAAAATAATCTCCCCTAGCTCAGCAATCTAGAACACAGGAACACAGTCTTGGAATGAGAGGCTTATCAGTTCAGATTGAAATGAGGAGAAATTTCTTCGCCAGAAGAAAATTCTGAATTTTTAGAGTTCTCTAACCCAGAGGGTTGTGAATTTTCCATCTCAGCTTCAAATATATTCAATTATGGTTCTCAGGACATCAAAGGATATATAGAGTTGGCATGAAAGTGGAATTGAGACAGAAGATCAGTCTTGATTGTACTAATGTTGGAACAGACCTGGGGGCTGTATGGTCTACTCATGTTCCCATTTCTTAAGATTCTTATCAAACAAAATTCTGTTCTACTTCTTTAGAGAAAATGTGGACTTCCCACCATTCATATTGGTTCAGACTTGGCAGATAAAATGCTAATAAGGGCCAGGCTTCTACTGAGTTCAGGGTTCATACCAAACACGTCAGGAAATTGGCACAATCCCATGAACTCCTTCATATCTACCACAAGTTAAAAGCTCTTCAAATCCAAGACCATTAAATCATGCTGCACAATTGTTTGTTTACAAGTGATTAATAGTTTCAAATGAAATTCTTTTTGTCCCCATTTTAGCTGATGTTATTATTTGAACTAGGTAAACACCTCTGTTAAAATAGCAAACATTTAAGCATTCTTATATTGATATGTTGCTGCTAAATAAGAGACAAAGTGTAATTTCAAGACCTGAATGAAGACTTGTGGCTTACAATGTGAAAGCAATTATTATGCAGTCCGAATTCCAGTTAGTATAAATCTTCACATATTTCCCTGACTTCATCTACAAGTCACAGCAGAGTACTGAAGTAATCAAATCTCTGTCAATAGAGGAAGTGAGAGTTCATGCTGGTTTTCAAATTATGTATGATTGTAACAGCAAAGACAAGTTGTGACTTGTTTTGTCAAACATGTTAAAATGACTA